CTCCTGGCCGGAGGTTCAAGAGGACAGGCGTGGCGACCACTGTGAGGGCTGGCCCGGCCTGGGAAGGCGACGCCTGTGCGGCCTCCGGAGGGTGTCGCCAGGCTGCATGTCTGGCCTGGGTGTCACCTCAGCCGGGCAGGAGCAGCGTCCGGGGGCGGGTGTTGCACCAGCTCCGGGCTCACTCAGTAAATATTAAACAGCCCCTGGCACGCTGCACAGGCTCCCGCCAGGCATGTGTAACCCACCAGCCCAGCCCTCAGAGGGCCTCGGAGCAGCCTCCCCAGCCTGGCTGGCGGGGCCTTAGCGCATGCGTGGCTGCAGCGTGCAGGGTCTGGAGCCGGACGAGGCAGGTGTAAGTCCTGCCCTGCCTCCGCCTCCAGGCAGAGCAATCAGGCCCGACTAGACAGGCTTCAGGTGAGACCGAGCCAGGACGAGGTGAGCTGCCCTTCACCTGGTGTCTGGTGACCTGGACAGTCAGGGATGGTGACAGACGCGCCCAGCATGTGCAGAGACCAAGCCCTGCCCTCGGGGCTTTCCGTGTGCTGTCCATGTCCTCCTGCCCCAGGCCTGCAGACGCCCTTGGTACAGGTGAGGAAACTGAGTCACACAAGCTGTCCCGACGCTTCGCACGTGCAGGGCCGGGGCCGCCTCCTTCCTGCCTCTTCCCCAGCCCCTCTCCTTACACCCTGAGAGTCCTTCACTCTCACACTTCCCGGCCACCCCACAGAGTAATTCCTGAGGCGGGAGGATGCCCGGAGGCTCCTGGCTTGGGGGGACCTGCCTGACAGCCTGAGGAAGAGACCCTGCTGCAGAGAGGCAGCAAAGGGCCTAGGGGCAGCTAGGCCGGCCGGCTGGGTCCAGTCCAATGGTTTCAGGGCCTGACTCTTTCTTCTTTCAGTTTTTGTCCAGATGGAAATCAGCTGTTACACCAACCATTCACACCTTAGTATGAAATCCCCACACCCAATTAATTTCCCAAGTGAATTTACTCCACCTACTGTGGAGTAAAAGCCCCTTTTCATGGTCAAAGGAGTTTCCAGGTGCCAGGGTGAGACGGGGTGAGGGCAGGAGAAGGTGGCACGGCCCGCCACACCTGAGTGAGCCCTGCTCTCCTGCCTGAGCCCTTGCTGCCTGGCCCGCCCCAGTCCTGAGCACCCCCACAGTGTGGCTGTTCAGCCTAGTTGGGTTACCTGGGAAACAAGGCCAGATGGTGAGCCCAGAAACTCAATCCAGGCCTCCAGGCCTTGAAGCCGAGTCCAGAACCCAGGGAGCTGGACAGAGACGGGAAGGTAACATAAGCGCCTCCTCCCTGTCCCGGGGAGCCCCAAATCCGAGAGGCTTGCCTGCGACGTTTACAGACCACCCAGGGGGGTCCAGCAGAAGACATGGCTCTCGGGGCAGGGAGACAAGGTCCCGCTGAAGGCCGGGCAGAGGGTGGTCCTTGCAGCCACGAGCACAGGTCGGGTCATAGATAAGAGCGAAGGCTTCGTGACCCCGTCAGAGACTGCAGACCCTCACTAGGGCAGGAGCCTGGTCCGTACAGACACGCGTGACCCTCGCAGTGAAGGTCCGCGTATCGACGGGCAGAATGAGCGGCATGGTGGGGGTCTGTGCCTTAACCTAGTGGGGTGACTGTGGGAGGGGTGCACATACCTCCGGGAGGACCCTGGCCATAGACCAATTCCGGGAGGCAAAGGTCATGGTCCCAGGTGTTTGGGAGGCCCAGCTGGACCAGCAGGTGTGTCTCAGCGAGACAGGGAGGAGGAGGGGCAGGGGCTCCATCCTAAGCCTTCTCTCACTCCCTGTCGTGGGCAGCCTCTT